CAGCGAGAGCAATGTCTTCGGGGCAGTTAAGTGCTCCTGGCACCAACCCGCTGCAGGTGAAAGGGGATTCACTGTTTTGGGGAACCAAGCTGAGCTGCACCCCCAGCCTGGGGCACGCCGGTGTGCCAGAGCCAGGGCGTTGGCATGATGCTGTGGGCATCAAGGGGCCACGGGCTCAGCTAGGGCACGGCCATGAGGAGGGGAAGAGCCAGCTCTGCATGGTGGCAGGGGGTGAGCAGAGCCCAAGGTGACAGTCCTTTGGGCTGGACAAAGCACCGAGCCCTGCCCTGGCCATGTCCACAGGCTGGTGGTGGGCTGTATGGGCAACCACATCCCCAGCTACAGTGGCACCAGGGGAGGGTGGGGGGCAGCTCGCAGGAAAATCCTGGCTGGAAAGGAAACCCCTGGAAAGGGCAAAGGTGGTTGAAGATTTTTATAGCTCACTCCCGAGCAGGGAAATGGGGTTCATGCTGGGAGTGTGGAAGCGCAGGTCCCTCCAGTCCACATGGGCCTCAGAAACAAGGAGCATAGTGGCTTACAAGCTGCCTTGGGGTCACAGCCCCAGTCCCCCATGAGGTGTCCCTGTGCCGCAGGGTCAGGCCACAGTGTGCCACGTGGACATCTCCGTCTCACTCGGCCTCCTGGTCAGCTGCAGCTCTCCTGAGCCTGCTTTGGGGAGCAGGTGCGTCCCTTCCCCTGCCGCAGCGGTCCCCTCCTCAGCAGCACGGGTGCCCTCTTCCTCGTCTTCCTCTTCCTCGCTCCCCGGGCAGAGGAAGCAGCAGGGGAAAGCTTTGCAGGAGGATGGCAGCAGTCTGCTCAGCCTGGCCGGGAGCCCGTACACCTGGCTGGCTTCGCCCCACTCTCCATGGGAATGGCGACTGCCTGCCCCGAGTTTCTGCTGCGCCAGGTGGGAGAGCAGCCCTCGCTCCTCCAGCGTTCCTGCAGCCAGGGCAGTGAGATGGGAGCCTCTTCCTCCAGCTGCACCCTCCTGGTGCCTGGAGGCAGAGCTGGTGGTTTGGGGACAGTCCCATGGCCATAGCCAGCCTTCAGAGCAGCAGCTCATGCTGCAGCATACCCTCACCTGAGACAGTGTTCTCCAGGAAAAACGACAAGAAGCCAGTTAAGATGACGGGCACCATGAGCAGGGAGAGGAAGAGGAGGTCCAGGGGCACCCAGCCTGCAGGGACAGTGCCAGAATCACCCAGGGTGTCACAGCCCAGCAGCAGGGAAGGGGCAGGAGCTGCCGTGGCAGACCCAGGGGCTGGAGAGGGAGCTGCCTGCTGCTGTGAGCTTCCCCAGCCTCCCAGGACATGGGACATGTGTGGTCACCATGCCACGGGGCCTGAGGCTTTGCCTTGCCTGGGGAATGTCCCCGCTACCTGTGGCCAGGTGAGCCGGAGCCACGCCCGACGATGAAGATGTTCCTGCCTGAGTCGATGTCCGCGTACTGGAAGTAGGAGATCCCCGTGCCCACAGCCACGGTGTAGGTGACGCAGAGAAGCCGACGATGAAGATGTTCCTGCCTGAGTCGATGTCCGCGTACTGGAAGTAGGAGATCCCCGTGCCCACAGCCACGGTGTAGGTGACGCAGAGCACCCCCCCTGCGAGGGGCAGCAGTCAGGCAGCGCCGGGCAGGCTGCAGGCACCGCAGTGCAGGGGAAGGGCAGAGTACGCACCGTGAACTGCCAGCGGGATGCGAGCGAGGAGCCCTGCCAGCCTCGGGGACGTGCCCAGCACCACGCACGCCAGCGCGCTTACTTGTACCGACAAGCGAGAGCCAGTCTGGTGGAAAGGAGGACGGGGAAAGTGAGGATGGGGAGCCTCACCCCTCGCTCTGTGCCCCCCCGTAGCGCCTACAGACCTGCCTTTCCCAGCACTGGCTCAGTGACAGCCTGGGTACCACAGGTCCCCCACACCTCCCGCTCCATTGCCTCCCCATCTCTTGCCCACCTTCCCCCCCACGCTGGGCATACCTGCGTGAGGCCGGTGGCGCAGGCGCTGGCGATGCTGGCAGCCG